GAAGCTGTACCCTCGGTTCATCGGTCCGTTCGAGGTTCTCGAGCGAGTAGGCGAGGTCGCGTATCGATTAGCCCTACCTCCCGAGTTATCAGGCATTCATAATGTATTTCACGCACCGATGTTGCGTAAGTACGTGTGCGACCCCGATCATGTTATTCCCCACTCAGATATTCAGGTTCAGCCAGATCTTTCATACGAGGAGCGACTGGTAGCTGTATTAGACTGTCAGATTCGTCAGCTCCGGAAGCGAGATATTCCCCTCGTGCGTATTCAGTGGGATCACCACGGAGCTACTTGGGAAGAGGAGTCCGATATTCGCGCTCGTTATCCAGATTTCCAGTTTTGATGTACATATTTTCTTGTTCTATGTACATAGTTCATGTATTTTCAGTTATGTTCTGAATTTCCGAGGACGGAAATTTTGTAAGGAGGGAGGATTGTAATATCCCGTCAGTTTCAGTATAAATGATATTTTAGTTCCGATATTAATTTTCGGAATAAATTATTTTCAGTCAGTTCAGTCAAAATTACCGGAAATTAAATTCGACGTACCGTTTACGTTCGGAATAATTTTGGTAATTAAGTATTATGTTTAATTTAATAATTAAACATAATTGAAGGATTAAGTATTAATTAGTCACAAGCTCATGTATATTAATCGTTCGGATTTTTTAAAATTATCCTCTAATGTCGTGTGATTAAGTGATGTATATTAGTGAAAGTGGATCAAATAAGTGCCTAGCATTTAAGTGGGAAATTGTCCAAATTCTCCCTTCTTAGTGGGGCTTTTAACGTGTCCTAATGTGGCTAAGAGTGGTGCTTAGTCACCTAAACATTATTTACTAATGTTACAAGTGTCATTAGAAGAACAAATTTCCAAACCTTTGGTTTCAGCCATTGTAGTATATAATGGAGGAGTTGTATTTTTTTGATCCATTTTCTTCATCTTCCATAGTTCATCAAGCTCAAGCCGTAAGTTCACTTCCATAATTCAGCCATCATATATATATAGCTAAGTGATAAGGAGAGTTAAGTGAAATGTTGTGAGAATTTTGAGTGATTGCCGAGAGTACCGCAAGCACCGTTAATTATCGCCAAATTATCGCACATCGCACGGTTAATCGCACGCAAGTAGCAATCGTCGCACTCGTAGCAGTAGTTCTTCACGGCAGTCAGCACATCGCTCAGTGGTCAGGTGTACGCAAGCATCTACGAGTGTTATAGAAGTCTGTCGCGCGTATCGCAAGCCATCGCACGCTACGTCGCAAGTTACCGCACGGCGTCGCACACACGCGGAGGGTCACGGCCGAGTATGGGAATTAGAAAAGATTAGTCATTCGGGCTTAATTAGAGGTAATTCCCGACGGTTGTTGACCGAGATTATCATGTTTATTAAGTTCAATTTTTAGTTAGATATGCATGCGTGTTATGTGTGGTAAAAGCCGTAGCCGTGCCGATCATGTCATGTTTTAATCTCCGAACTATCATAGCATATTTAGCCTTTATATGCAAAATCATGTTTAGTTTAACTTAAGTGTTCGGATGATTAATCATGTTTGCAGTGTTGCGGCCAAAGGTGACGTGGTTGCGCACGTAGCGCACCATGGGCCGTACTTGCTTGCTCAGTATATTAAGTTCCGTTCCTCGAGCATTTTTATGTGACTTATTCAGTAGATTATTAATCATGTTCAGTTAAGTTTGAATTGCCAAGGATATATGAGATTCGGTCGTAGCACAACGCCGTCGGCGGCGCACGATGCGTCTGCCGCGGCCAAAGTTCAGTCCTTTGCGTAAACCATCATGTTTTCCGTAATAAATCAGTTTATATGTCATGACATGTTATTTGAGGTCAGTTGGTTCAGAAGTTGTTGCCCGACGGCCGGCAAGG